TCTATCCTGTATCACTTCTTTGATAGTAAGCTTTCTCCCATGTAGTTTTGGTTATTTTTTCAAAATAGACTTAATCTTTGATCCTAATTTACGTTATAAACTTAGGATATTTTTAGTGGATTAAATCCATCATATGTCCACTAAGCAAAAAACAAGGATGGGAATGGGTACTTTTATATTTCACTGGGAGCAGGAGGATAAAAAGGATAGATAGAATAGTCTCATTCAAAAGTTCCCCAGACCAGCTGATCATGAGAATCACCTGTCTATTCAAACAAATTCTCATACCCAACCTCAGACATCATTAATGGGAATTTCTTAGTGGTAATGCCTCGGATATGTATCTTTTAAAGCAAGCCCTCTTAGGTGAATCTGATAATCACCTGAGTTTGGAAACTATTCAATTAGAAATGAGATTAATTGGATTCTGGACACAGCTATTTTTATTAGTTATATGATCTTGGACAAGTTACTAAAAACCTGTATGGGTCTATATTTTTCCATTGACCATTAATAATTTTGGTACATAATATTTGTACATATTTATGATGTATATGTGATATTTTGATACATGTATATAGAATGTATTGTGATCAAGTGAGGGTATTTGGGATATCAGTTACCTTAAGCATTTATCATTTCTTTGCAATGAGCACATTTCAGATTTTCTCTTTTAGCTACCTTGAAATATATAATCTATTGTTGTTAACTGTAGTTACCATACTGTTCTATGGAACATTAGAACTATTCCTTCTAACTCTTTGTACTCAACTAACGTACCTCTCTTTTTAGCTCCTCCACGACACCCTCATTCACTCTCTTCTAAGCCTCTGATATCTATCATTCTACACTCTACTTTCAGAAGATCAACTTTTTTTTTTTTGGAGACTGAGTCTCGCTCTCTTGCCCAGGCTGGAGTGCAGTGGCACAGTCTCAGCTCACTGCAAGCTCTGCCTCCCAGGTTCACGCCATTCTCCTGCCTCAGCCTCCTGAGTAGTCAGGACTACAGGCGCCCACCACCAAGCCTGGCTAATTTTTGTATTTTTAGTAGAGATGGGGTTTCACCTTGTTAGCCAGGATGGTCTCGATCTCCTGACTTCATGATCTGCCCACCTTGGCCTCCCAAAGTGCTGGGATTACAGGCATGAGCTACCGTGCCTGCCCCAACATTCTTTTTTTTTTTTTTTTTTTTTTTTGCTCTCACGTAAGAGTGAGAACATGGGATATTTATCTTTCTGTGCCTAACTTGCCTCACTTAACACAATGATCTCCAGTTCAATCCATGTTGATGCAAATGACAGAATTTCATTCTTTTTAGGGCCAAAGAGTATTCCATTATTGATATATACTACATTTATCCATTCAACTACTGATGGACACTTAGATTGATTCCATATCTTGGCTATTGTGAATAGCACTACAGTAAACATGGGGGTGCAGGTATCCTTTTGATACACTGATTTTCTTTTCTTTGGATAAATGTCTAGTAGTGGGATTGCTGGATCTTATGGTAGCTCTATTTTAGTTTGTTGTTGTTGTTATTATTGTTGTTGTTTGAGACAGAGTCTCACTCCATTGCCCAGGCTGAAGTGCTGTGGCACAGTCTCAGCTCACTGCAACCTCTTCCTTCTGGGTTCCAGTGATTCTCATGCCTCAGCCTTCATCTCCCAAGTAGCTGGGTCTACAGGCGTGTGCTACCATACCCAGCTAATTTTTGTATTTTATTAGAGACTGGGTTTCACCATGTTCCCCAGGCTGGTCTCGAACTCCTGACCTCAAGTGATCCACCTACTTCAGTCTCCCAAAGTGCTGGGATTATAGGTGTGAGCCATTGTACCTGGCCCTATTTTAATTTTTTGAGAAATCTCCATACTGTTGTGTTTGTTTTTTTGTTTTTTGAGATGGAGTGTCACTTTGTCACCTGGGCTGGAGTGCAGTGGTGTGATCTCGGCTCACTGCAACCTCCGTCTCCTGGGTTCAAGTGATTCCACTGCGTCAGCCTCCCGAGTAGCTGGGATTACAGGCACCTGCCATCACGCCCAGCTTATTTTTTTGTATTTTTAGTAGAGACAGGGTTTTCACCATGTTGGCCAGGATGGTCTTGGACTCCTGACCTCGTGATCCACCCACTTTGGCCTTCCAAACTTCTGAGATTACAGGCGTAAGCGACCACGCCCAGCCATCTCCATACTGTTTTCTATGATGGCTGTACTAATTTACATTCCCACCAGCAGTGTATCAGACTCCTTTTCTCCACATTCTTGAAGGCATCTTATTATTTGTCTTTTTTGATAATAACCATTCTAACTGGGGTAAAATGATATTTTATTGTGGTTTTGATCTGCATTTCCTTGATGGTTAGGGATGTTGAGCATTTTTTTTTTTTTCCATATACCTCTTGGCCATTTGGATGTCTTCTTTTGGGAAATGTCTAACATTAGCTCCTTATAGGATGAAGAGTTTGCAGATATTTTCTCCCATTCAATAGGGGTCTCTTCACTCTGTTGATTATTTCCTTTTCTGTGCAGAAACTTTTTAGTTCAATGTAGTCCCATTTGTTTTTGATGCCTGTGCTTTTGAGGTCTACATAAAATCATTACCTAGACTAATGTCCTGAGTGTTTCTCCTATGTTTTCTTCTTGTAGTTTTATAGTTTTAGATCTTACATTTAAGTCTTTAATCTATCTTGAATTGATTTTTGTATATGGTGAGAGATAAGGTTCTAGTTGTATTCTTCTGCATATGGATAACCAGTTTTCCCAGTACCATTTGTTGAAGAGGGCGTCCTTTCCCCAGTGTTTTTTCTTGGCCCCTTTGTCAGAAATCAGTTGGCTGTAAGTATGTGGATTTATTTCTTTATTCTGTTGCATTGGTCTATGTGTCTGTTTTTATACCAACCATACTGTTTTGGTTACTGTAGTCTTGTCGTATATTTTGAAGTCAGGTAGTGTGAGGCTTCCAGCTTTGTTCCTTTTGCCCAGAATTGCTTTAGTGATTCTGGCTCTTTTTTGGTTCCATACAAAAAAAAAAAATTTTTTTTTTTTTTTTTTAGGTGGAGTTTCACTCTTGTTGCCCAGGCCAGAGTGCAGTGTGCAATCTCAGCTCACTGCAGCCTCCACCTCCCACGTTCAAGTGGTTCTCCTGCCTCAGCCACCCAAGCAGCTGGGATTACAGGTGCCCGCTACCATGCCTGGCTAATTTTTCATATTTTTAGTAGAGATGGGGTTTCATCATGTTGGCCAGGCTAGTCTCAAACTCTTGGCCTTAGGTGATCCACCTCCCACAGCCTCCCAAAGTGCTGGGATTACAGGCATGAGCCACTGTGCCCAGCCAGGTTCCATATACATTTTAGGATTGTTTTTTCTTTTTATGTGAAAAATGTCATTGGAATTTTGATAGGAATTTCATTGAGTCCATAGATTGCTTTGGGTGGCATGGTCATTTTAATAATATTTTCCTGATCCATGAGCATGGGATGCTTTTTCGTTTGTGTCTTCTTCGTTTCTTTCATCAGTATTTTATAGTTTTCCTTGTAGAGGTCTTTAACCTCCTCAGTTAAACTATTCCTAGGTGAGATTTTTTTTCTTTTGTAGCCATTATAAACGAGATTGCCTTGTTGATTTTTTTTTTCCAGCTAGTTTTTTGTTAGTATATAGAAACACTACTGATTTTTGTATGTTGATTTTGCATTCAACAACTTGACTAAATTTATCAGTTCTAAGGGTTTTTTGGTTGAAGTCTTTGGATTTTCCTATATGTAAGATTATGTTGTCTGTGAAGAGGAACAATTTGACTTCTTTTCCAATTTGGATACCTTTTATTTTCTTCTTCTGCCTGATTGCTCTGGCTAGGGCTTCTTAACTATTAGTATTACATATATAATAGGAAAGTTTGCTTCCAAAAAAAGTACTATATAAATTCATCAGAGTGGAACTTGTTGGCTGTTACCATAAGCTTTATTACTTATCATATGCTCTCTAGTATACCAAATATATATGGTGAAAATAAATACCTTATTTTCATTCAAGGAGTTCAGAATACTTGGTAAACACAGGAGACAATGTTATTTTTCCTGATTTTGAAGATTGAGGCAAGACACTTTTTATAACTTACCCTTCTTCTTCCCCTGAATAACTAAAACCGAGTATCAATTACTCATGATAGTCTTTTCTTTATTTTTTGTCTTGACCCTTCAGCCAAGGTATAGGAAAAGAAAAATGTAATTTGAGCCTTCAGCTGTGTGGAAACTTTAGTGAAACATTTCAGGTACCTTAAAATTTTTAATTAGTTGATTCCCCCCTTCCCAAACTTAGGTTATTTTATTTCTGTAATTTTCTTCCAGATTTATGGCAACCAAGCAACACCGTGTCATAATAGTTTATAGTTTACTTTTGTTACTTTTTAATTTTTTTAAAAAATAGATACATTTTCAGTGTTTAAAAATGAACAAGTATGGAAAGGCTTATACAGTAACTGAAAAGTCTCCTTTGGGAAGCCAACGTGGGAGGATCGCTTGAGGCCAGGAGTTCAAGACCAGCCTAGGCAACATGGAGAGACTTTGTCTCTACAAAAAATTTAAAAATTAGCCAGGTGTGGTGGTGCATGCTTGTAGTAGTAAGTACATGGGAGACTCAGGTGGGAGGATCACTTGAGTGCTACTGCACTCCAGCCTAGGCAACAGAGCAAGACCCTGTCTCTAAAAGCAATTTTTTTTTATAAGAAAAAAGTCTCCCTCATAGCCCTGTTCTACAAAAGTCCTACTTCCTTCCCCACAAATAGCCACTGTTACACTGTTGTTAGTTTCTTGTGTGAAGATTTACTTGTAAAATAGAACTATTTTTTAGTATATCTTCTAGTGATCTTAGTTTCAGTAGGCTTAGGAAATGGATCTGAGAGAAATGGTATTTAATAACTGTGATATGTTTAAATAAGAATTATTGGCATTTATTTTCAACGAGGTTACAAGATTCTTTTTCTTTGAAAACACTGTCAACTTACAGAGTCAACTAATTCATGACCGAAAATGTATTAGGAAATTGTCTGGAGAAACTGTTGTCACATACCAGAAAAAGGAAAACCTTGAAATGAATGGGGATTCTTTATTGTTTGCAAGACTCATGAATTCTGAGTCACCTCTGAATGAAAGCCCTACTGATGACAGTGAAAAAGAAGCCAGCCATTCTGAAAGTAATGTTGATGCTGACAGTGAGGCTTCAGAATCTGAAAGTGCTTCAAAGCAGACTGAGCTGTTCAGATCCAGCAGTGGATCTGGTGTGCACACAGATGGACCCCTTTACCCTCCATCAGCAGGTGAACTGGTGTACACCAAGGAGACTGACAGTGGCGATAAGCAAATGGCTGAGGCTATTTCTGAACTTCATTTGAGGAGCACTGTAACTGGACATCAAGATTTTGACAGAGAAAATCAGCCACTAAGTATTTCAAATAATTTATGTTTTTTAGAGGGGAAGCATTTGAGGCCTCATAGTCCCCAAAATGCTTTTCAGACCCTTTCTCAGACCTATATAACTGCTTCTAAAGAATGTTCAGTTCAGTCCTGTCTCTACCAGTTTACATCTATGGAATTACTAATGGGGAATAATAAGCTTCTATGTGAGAACTGTACTAAAAACAAACAGAAGTACCAAGAAGAAACCAGTTTTGCAGGTAACTATTTTTTTAATTAAATAATTATTGATTTCCTGATAGTGTCTAGTGAGTTACAAATTTCACTGAGAATTTTACTGAGAATCTTGTTTTTATACTTGCGTAACTTAAGCACAGAGATTGTTTTATTCATATTTGTACCTGAGCACTTATGATACTGGGCAGAACAGATTTTCAATAGTTTTTTTTGTTTAAATAAATTGAAGAGCAGGAAGTATACAACTCTGCCTTAAAAATGCAAACTCATATAATCTTATTTGAGGGAACTATGTATCTGAAATCTATCCAGAAGAAATACCCCTACAATTTTTTTTTTTTTTTTTTTTTTTTTTTTTTTTTTTT